ATTTCACTTCTTTGGGACTAAATTCACCATTTATAAGATAAATAGGGCTATATCAGATAAGCTCAAAGGTTCCTTACACTCTGACACTCTAGGATTCTTAATCATTTGGGTCTATAGCTTCCTCTTCCATTCCTGATAATTATCATTTTTTTATGGTCTCACTAATTATAAGACACATCAGGTTTTTTTTTCTGAAGTTGATATATCTCTCACTGTTCAGGGAATTATTATCTTCTCTGCTTTCTTCCTCCCTATGTAAAGAAACTGAATGTGGGACTTGGGAAAAATTTTTTTCTATTCTTTCCCAATCCCACAACTGCCCCACCTCATCCCCACTTCACCTCCAATCCACCAAAAGAAAATAGAGAGTAGGCAAATTTGTAGCAGATGTTTATGGAATGGCAACATATTTTTGGTCCTTTCTAGAAAGCTTCTTTGGAATGCGGGTGTTGACATTAGCCGTGGAAAAAAACTCCAAGTTCGGAAGTTTCACCTGAGGGCTTTCACTGATGTGGAACTTGGAGGTGTTTAACCTTAGCCAGTGGTTCTCAGAGCTTGGGCCTCAGACCACTGATGACCCAGAAGCTAATCTCTTATTTACAATGTAATAACGTTTATGGTTTTGTTTCTTATGAAGTATTCATCATGTATGAAATCCCTCAACTCCTTCCCATCAAAAGCTCCACCATTCTTTCTCCTTCATTCTAGTGGGCTTTCTTTGCAATAGAAAATAAGAAGAGAATGAATGCAGTGAAAGTTCCATCAGACATTTTGCCCCTAAGTCACTGATCTAGGAAAGGAGAATGGTCTAGTGGGGAGAACATAGTATGTGGAATCAAAGTGCACAGAGTCCACAGAGCCACCTCTTACTCACTTATACCAGACAAGTCACATTCCCTTCTTGAGCCTCTGTTTCTTCAATCTTCAAAACAGCCAACAATAATATCGACTTTACAGAGTTATTGTAAAGTAATCACTTTGTGGACTGCAAAGAGTTAGTAAATATGAGCTTTTTTCCTTCTTTATAGATACTGAATGTTAGAGCTGGAAGGTACCTTTGGAAATCTTTGTCTTGAATCTCCTCATTCTATAGACAAGAAAAATGACATCAGTCATTTCCAGATCATTGCTTCTCCTAAAAAAATGCTCAGAATCTCATTTATGTCGGCAAAAAATGAAGCGATGATGATAATAACAACTAGAAGGCCAAAAGAAGTGTATTAAGGGGCAAAAATTAAACACATAAGTTAGTTCTATCTCTTGATAGAGGCAGCTGAAAAAAAACACCTGAGGCAACCAAGAGAGCCAACGTAATCTTAATTACATGAAAAGAGACATGGGGTACTGTTCAAGGAAAGTAATTATATCATTGTACTCTGTCCTGAATGGCCTGCATCTGAAGTATTATGCAAAGTTCAGAGTGCCAACATTTAGGAAGGACAAAAGCCAGAAAATGTTGAGAGGAAGGCAGCTAGAATCAGGAGGGTCTTTGAGAACTGAGGACATTTAGACTGGAGAACACAAGACCCAGAGAGGACCTGAGAACTGTCTTAACATGTTAGAAGATTGTGCTGTGATTACATTTGTTCTGTTTGGATGATAGGGCAGGACTAGGAACACTGGTTGGATGTTGAAAAGAGGCCAATACTGACTTGGGAGACTTCTAAGTAGCTAGAACCATCCAAAAGTGAAATGGACCATGTGGAGGGAGTGGATAGGTGGGTGAGTGGGTCGGTGCAGGGCAGAGAGCTTTCCCCTCACTATATGTTTTCAAACAAAACAGCAGATGACAGCTGGATGTACTGACCAGGTCTTGTTCAGTTATAGGTTTGACTACAAAGCTTCTGGGGCTCCTTCTGTTTCCAAGATTGTAGGATTCCATGATTCTCTCAATAAAAGGAACTCTAGCTTTCTAACTCTGAATCAACTAATGAATTACACCAACCTTTAGCTGCCATCTTTCTTATGTGACAGCCACTATATCCTAAGTCAGAAAGGGAAGGAGGCAGGGGAAATGAGAAGGTAAGGTTATGAATGAATGAATGATGGGAGAGATAAGTGAGGAAATTCTGATCATCTAATTGATAGGAGTACACTTTCAGAAAAGGTTATAGCAAATCAGTATTCCAAAATGACCAAACAAAATCTGTCAAAGTATAAAATTACATTATTTATTTCTAGGTTTGGGGTTAGCCCTGTGTATGCCTTAGTATCTTCTAAAATGAAATAAATGAAGACAGTTTTACAAGAGGAAAATCACACCTCCTACCCTACCCCCAATGTGGTTAGACTTGTTGTGAGTCACAATTAGAAAGAATGGCATTTCCAGGAACTCTGGTAGGAATGGGTATTTTCCCCATCCTCTTGAGCAGCTGGGGTTGCGATGTTGCTGCTGTTGCTGTCACCACCGTCCAGATGAGGCAGTAGTGAGAAGGAAGCTAATCTGGCCAGGTGTGAAAAGTCCGAAGTGGGCACATTTTGTGTGAAATACACACCTACTCTGAAACATCTCAAATATGCTTCTGGCTATCTTAGAAAGTTTGACTAATTATCATGGTTATAAATTTACACTTTTATGCTTAGATAGGAACAGAATTTCAGTATCAAAAGCAAATTAATTAATTATCCTTGCATACACTTAACTGCTTTCCTTAATCCATTCATCTCCCCCAGAAGAAGTAAATGGGAGTGAATTAGAATGGCATGCTATTTGCTCACTCAGTGACTCACTGGTCATCTTTGTCAGGCAAGCAAGTAAGCAGCTAATTCTCCGTATGACTCTCCCTCCCTAACCTCTGTCTAAAACCCACAGCCTCATCAGGGTGAAAACTTGCCATAAGGTGAAAAAATTGAAAATTATGAAAATCCCCAAAGTAGCTGCAATATCTCAGATGATTTTCCTTTCAAACTGAAGAGCAGGATAGTCTTGACCACTGTGAAAATCAATGTGGATGATGAAAAGTAAGTACCTAGCCACCTTGCAGATAGGGAGACAAGTGTGGGATGAATAGGATGAAGCGTATATATGTGTATAGAGGGTGAATTTTGGAATTACTATAATTATTAGCACTTGCTTTCCCTCCTTATCTGTCCTTCAATCTCTCTCTGGGACCCTCTAGCTACCCCACTATACTAAACCCCAAAAGAGCAAACTATCAGAAGAAGAGACTTCAAAATTCTTCCAGAGCACTCATTAGGTTCAATATAATTGAACATTTTAACTGATTGTAGAAAGTGAAGTCTGGAAAAAAGTGTAAGATCATCTAGTCCTTTCCGCCATTCCACTTGCCTTCTCTACCCTTCCTCCAGCACACACACACACACACACACACACACACACACACACACACACTCACACGCACAGCAAAGAACTACAAATTGTACTCCATCTTTCCTCTTCTTTTTGAAAGTGGTCCTATGACGTATGTGTCCTATGACACAATGATTCATGTTACTTTCTAATTCTAATCCTTCATCAGTGTTGTTTTATTTTGTTTTTTCTGATAGTCTCCGTCTTTCTCTTTTTCCATTAATTAAGCCCATTCCTCTTGTCCTGTTGCTAATGGTGGGGAAAACATCTTTTATGGTATGTGAGGACTAGGTCTATTTACACAAACCACTAACTCTTAGAATGCCAGGACTGGAAGGAACTTTAGAAGCCTTTCAAATATCTCATTTTACAGATGGGAAATCTAAGGCCCAGAGAAGGGAAATTATGTGCTCAAATTTACATAGTTAGTATAGAGAGGAAATTGTAACTAAAATTCAGGTTTCTGAAGTCTCCGTCCAGTATTCTTTTCACTACATATTAAAGTTAAACCACTGGTAATTTTGACAATGAGTTACATTTTATCAAATCACTTGGACTACTTTCAAATTAATGCATACTAGAGCAAATCTAACCAGGTTTTTGTTTGCTTGTCTGTTTGTTTGGTTTTTGTTTGTTTTGTTTTGGTTTGTTGGTTTTGTTTTGGTTTTTTTTTTTTTTGGTACAATATGTCTGTGTAGGTGGACTCAGGCTTAATCTCTCAGATGGGATAAAATATAAATCTTAATTCAACTGACTGGGGCAGATACACCCTGGCTTTAAAAGATTCTCAAAAGCACTAGAGAATGTATAAGAGGGACAAAGAGTTTATTCAGGCCATGACTACAACATCCAAGAACAGAACTATGTCTTTAAGTGAAAAAATGAGTGCTCTGGTAAACATATGATGATTTGTGAACAAAACAATAGGTTACCTATGCAAGGTTTTGTGGGATTTTTAAATGCAGCTGAGAACCTGCTCGTTTTCTCTAATGCAAGAAAATGACCCATTAACAAAAAATAGACCCAGAGAAAACACTTAAAGGATGCAACCTCTGTCTTTGTTGTCAGGAGAAATGGTTGATTGTTTCTGGCTTTGGTTTTCTTATAAGCAGTAGGGTATGGTGGGGTCCACAAGGATTCTCTTACCTGTTTTGCAGATGAGAAAGCTGAGGTCTCAGAGAGGCTGAGAGGGTCCCAGAGCTAATCAGAATCGGAGCCAGAATTTAGACCCAACCCTCCTGACTTCAAGTCTAGCTCCTTCCTCTTATGCTGTGCTCCACCTCTCACTCCACCCTCAAGTGGCGCTTATAACATTCATTCTATGTACCTTACTGGTGAGGATCAAAGGAGATAATGGATTATAGGATCAAGTCACACTAGTCCTGAATTTTACAGGTGAAGAAACTGAGATCTAGGGAAGGATAGTACCTTTTTCAAGGTCTCCTAATACCACAGAACAGAACCAGGATTCAAACCAAAGTTTCTTACTACAAAGTACAGTGCAAATTCATTCCACTCCATCCTATAGCACCGCTCCCCCACAATGTGTTTAAAGAACTTTATAAACTGCCAAGTACTACCTAAATATTGAAAATTACATCTACAATTCATCAGAATGACCAGAAAGGTATGTAATGTATATTGTGTCTGGAAATGGAAGTAACAAAAAAGACCATACAACCCTACTTACAGCACTCAATGGGATTGGATGCAGCTTGCAGAGAGACAATCCTCCCGCTGGATTCTGGGATGTGCACACGGAAAACTAGGCGCACCCGTGTATTCTTTCTCCCAATGTCTGTCTCTCCTTTCCGCAACTCAATATCTGCATTCCTAAGTTTCAGGATCCCAGCGCAGTCGATGCTGACAAAGACAAACCATGGGGCTTAGAAAACCATTTGCAACTGCTGACTGTCCTACTAAGTGTTAAAGATCAGTCATGGCTGAAACAGTTCTTAGGTTTCAATCTAAATAGTTCTACAAGCACACCAGAGAGAGAACTCCCCAGGCATCCTTAAGTTTCAGCCCTGAATTCACATTAGTATCAAAATCACAAAACAATTAAATAAAATAATGATAGGGAAAGTACTCCTCTAAGAACTTTTCTTCTGAATTTTATCATCCACACCTTGAAGTCTAAAATTTCCTGATAGGATGTAGAAAAACTGATGTAAATTCTTCACTTAATGGCTTGGAACCTTTAACCAACCTGCTTTAGCTCAATGCAACTGCACATATTATAAGCACCTACTCCACGTAGAATGCCATGCAAGGTACTGGCAAAAATACAGAAATACGAGAATCATATAATTTGAGAATTAGAGAGGTCTTCAGAGTTTGCCTATTCCATCCTGAAATTTAAAAGGACTCCTCTCTAGCATATCCTGAAAAGTGGTCCCACAGCCTCCATCTGAAGACCTCTAGCGACAGGCAGCTCAGCTCCTAAGGCACTCAATAAATTTGGACCCCATCCACTAGGAAAGCTCTGATTTTTAGAAAGTTGTTTTTCACTTTATACTGAGCCCCAAATCTGCCTCTCTACAAGTTTTATTCATTGCTCTTCATTCTATCCTCTACGGCCAAGAAGAACACAGGATCATAGAACTCGAACTGGAAGGGAACTCAGATGTTATCTAGTCCTGTTCCCCTCATTTTACACAAGAGGAAAGTAATCTTCAGTAATATACCCAAAGTCACCCAGTCATCAAAGTGTCAGAGATGGAATTTAAACACAAGTTCTCTGCCTCTAGAGCCACTAATCTTCCCATCAACCTTTCCAATCTAATCACTCATCCACATGGCAACCCTTCAAATTTCTGAAACCAGATGCAGTTCCTGCCTTCAAGGAACTTACAGTCTAGCAGAGAAAGGGTCAAGCCTCTCTCACATCATTAGTGTCATTCATTGTTCCTGAGACCTTACGTTGCTTTCATGTTGTTTTTCGGTTCCAATGGGATTTCCAGTACTTTGGTGTTGCCCACAATTTTCTCATAGCTGGTCGTGGTGACTGTTTTCCCTGTGATTCGGTGGACTTGATAGAACGCATGTGGCTTAAGTATCCTTTCATCTGCTGTCCCAATGAAGATCTGAAGGCCCAGAGGTTTGTTCTCCATGTAACCATGAAGCTATTGAAAAATCAAAACAAATGTTATTGCACCATAAAGAAACAAGACATAAGTAACCATCCCCGAAAAACAGTCAAATTGGAGAGCTAACAATGGGGGTAGGGAGAAGGAATGTAAAGGAGTATGGGTTCTAAGGCCAAAGCCTTAGATTCTATTCCTGGCTCTACTAGGGCAGCCCATCCCTGGCTCTGAACCTGGGCAGGTCATTTCTCCATAAAATAAGGGGGAATAGACTACATATCTCTTAGGTGTTTTCCAGTTCTGAAATTCTCTAATCCTATGACAATAAATGGTATTTTATTGAACCAATTTCCCATAAACAAATATAGGCTTATATATAATATATACACACATGTAAATAGTATTCATAAGCATTCATGTTCAGCTCAATCCTCTGTATACAAACAAACATGGAGGTTTACATATTTGTAGCATAAACATACAATGAAGAAGTATGTAAAAATTCTTTTGTGGGTCCATCTTAAAAAAATCAAGAAGAAACAGACTGGAAATGGATTAAAGTCAGAGTATAACTAAAATAATTTTCAAAATCCACCACTACCAGGACACTCACCACATATGAATAAGTGCCTAATATACAACCAGACAGGTAGTGGAGAATGAAAACAAAAATCTAAGTCAGACATGCATCTATCTGACATGCATAATCTATCTGCAACACATCAGTTGGAATATGCAATCTGTTCATAGTGCTAGGTAGTCAGATGGGTAAAATTTGGAGTTTTTTAAGTATTTTTTTTAAGTTGGTGCCCAAGAGAAGCAAATCTCTTCTCATCCTAGCTCCTAGAATTTTTAGGTGATTCTGACAGCAATGGAACAATGTATGCAGAAGGACAAATTCTGATGGCATGATGCTGCTTCTTCTTTCTCCCAATATCAGAAGTTTTATCCATTAATGCTCAGTAGTATTATGTGCTTAAGGAATTTAGGGCACAGTGGGGATGGGCTGGGATTCAGTGATCTCTGATCATGCTCTTTAAGCTACTTCAGAGATGTCCATATAGTTTTTAGGCTTTTCATGTGTTTTGAGAGGGTCAGGAAGGTTAGGGTGACATGGTTCTGCCCAGGATAACAAAGGATGTGGAAAAGGCAGGTGAATTCCTCAAAGAAAACAGTGGATGGAAAAATGTAAGAATGAGAGTAATCTTTCCATGAACCCCATGAGACAGAGTTGCTCTTTCATGGGAATGAAATGAATGGCTTCTAAAATGTCAATTTATTCAATTCCAAAAACTTTAGGCCCATATTATTTACAAAATCCTGTGCTGGGTTCTCATAATTCAAAAGGCAATTATTGAGTGACTCCTATTTGTCAGATACTGTGTTACATATGGGAATACAAACAAAAAAGAAACTAAATCTGCTCTTAAGAAGGTTACATTCTGTTATATATTATAGGATCATAAATTTAAAGTGGAAAGATACTTTAGCAGTCATCAATTACAGTGCCCCCCCATTTTATAGAATGTAAAACTGAAGCCCAGAGAGATTTTTCCTCCCCAGCCCCTAATATAGTGCTACAGACTTCACAAGCAACTGATAAATATTTGTTTAATTGAAACTATTGCCCAGTAGGAGGTGCTGAGAATTCAAGGACAAAAATGAAACAGTAACTGCCCTCAAAAAGCTTTTATTTTGTACATTTTACTGTGCAGTAACAGTCTCTTCTAGTACTCTGAACAGCACCCAGGGTGAGTAGGGCCATCTAACTTTGGTGAGAGATTTTTGCCCAAAAAATAACTTGATCACCCAAATATGAGGCAAATCAAAAATTAAATCAGTACCACTGAGTGAATGAGAAAGGTCTAAGATTAAATGAGAAAGATGGGCAGCATAACTGTGAAGCAGTCCCATGTGTAGTAAAGCAGAAATACTCATTAGAAGACACTGCAAGTGTTCAATAATCTTAGAATGTTAAAGCTGTAAGGGATCTGTAACCACCCTAGTGGGCAGATGAGAAAACTGTGGCCTGCAGAAAGAAAGTGACTTGACCAAGATCACATAACCAGTCAATGTCAAACATGGGATTAAAACTCAAGTCCTTTGACTCTCAGACTTCCCACTACCCTATGCTGCTTCTCCAAATCTAACCTTTAAGGCACACCTTTCTTGTCTGGCAATACCTACATGCCCAGAGTTCTACGCCTACATTAGTTCTACCTAATTATTGACAGAGAAAGCTACTTAAAAGCATCTACCAAGCCAGTTCCAGAATCCCTCCAGAGTTCTAAAAAATAATTTAGGGAGTTTCACAACAGAAGCATTCAAGTAAATAGCCCATAGTCATTTAAGATATTCTGGATATAATGGCAATAGAAGAAGAGGTTGAATAAGAAGTCCCCACTATTCAGCCTAGAGAAATGATTTCCTTGCTCTCACCCCCTCAACCTGTCCTCTCCACCAAGGTAGGAAAATTGTTCAGAACAATGGTCAGTGAGCTCATTCATTTTAAAAGAGGCCAGGGGACTTTTTAGAACTTAAGGGTTCTTAATAAGGTTGTAAATTTGTCTGGTTCTCTGAAACTCAAAGAGGGATATATTAAATCTTCAAAACTGATCCTAGAACCTAGCAAGTAGCCTGGATCTCTTGTTTGCACAGATCACATTTCACTTTGTACCATAGTTACACGCATACTTGTTCTTTCCTCTAATCCCCCAATCCCATCACCATTAGGCTGCAAGCTCCTTAAGAGTTGGGCCTGTGTATTCCCCCAGTGTCTAGAAGAGTGCATTGCCAAAAAAAAAAAAGTGGCACCAAGAAAATATCTGTTACATTGAATGATCTATGTTTCCCTGTTCCTTACTGTGGGTCAGAAATACCTCTAGAGAGATGTCTGTCATTAAGAAGCCAGGGTCATCTCCAAGCCTTAATGGAGCATTGAAGGAGGACTTAAGAGAATATTCTACATGAGAAAAGCATAAAAGAGACACAAGTAAAGAACCCTAAAAAGTCTATCTTACCAGCTTCTGAAAAGGAACCCAAAGATTGAAAAAAACCAACTAAGTTTCTGAAACCCATATTTACTTCACCACAATTTCACTCAAAATTCATCCAAATAGAAACAAAAGAAGATGCCTATTAATTGGAGAATATCTAATCAAGTTGTGGCACATGAATGTAATGGAAGAAATGACATATATGATGAATTCAGAGAAACATGAGAAGACTTATAAGAACTGATGCAGAGTGAAGTAAGCAGAACCAGAAATACAATATATACAATTACTACAATAATGGGGATGGGAATAACTATAACAACAAAACAATAAATTTTTAAAATTTTTATAATTCTATTATAAATCAAAATTTCATATAATTAAAAAATTATAATGACCAAGCTTGGCCCCAAGAAGAGATATGGAGAAGACACCTCCCTGCCCTTCTTTGTAGACATGGGTGACAATGGGTGTGAAACACTACATAGAACATTAGAATTCCTCTATATATTGGTTAGTTTTTCTGAACATTTCTCGCTATGTTTTCTTCTTTGTTATAGGGAATGACTCTCTGGGAGGAGTGTAGTGGAGGGGATAGATTGGGATGTGTAACTGATATAAAAATAAAACATCAATAAATTTTTATTTTAAAAAAACACAATAGAAAGCTCATTTGACCATTTAACCAAAGATCAAGTTCTATTTATCTTTCTGACTTAAAGACAATGAAGTCCAATCAAAGGTTTTCAAATATTTATAGAATCACAACATTTGGAAGGGACCTTAGAGGTCATGTAGTCTAACTGTTATCTCACCTAAAGTAACGATCCTGTCTACAACATCCTCCCAAAATAGCCACCTCTCATCTACTTGAAGACATCCAATAATGGGGAAACTCACTACCTTCCAAGTTAGCCTTCTTATTTTTTCACATTTCTAAGTTTTAGGGAGTGTTTTCTCTCACTGAGCTGAGATCCATCTGCTTTTTTATAAAGGCAGATCTCATATATTTGGAAACATGGATTAGAAGGGCAACAACCCAATTCTAGGTTAGACCAATGCAATTTACTTAGTTTCCATGTAACAACAAAGTTTCACAATCCAGGACAACATAGACAACAATTAGCACCATCCAGATTATGTCTGAAAGATTTTACCTACAGAACAATGAAGCACAATGTGCCTTATATTTCAGAGGAGACTTTTCTAATCAACTCAATTGTGGAAATTGGTAAAATAGTGTTCTCAATTCCATTGGATGAACTGAGACAAATCATACAAATCAAAGTGGAAAGAGTGATCCTGGGGCAGCTAGGTGTTGCAATGGACAGAGCACCAGCCCTTGAGTCAGGAAGACCTCAGTTCAAATCCAGACTCAGACACATGACACTAGCTGTGTGACCCTGGGTAAGTCACTTTACCCCAATTGCCTTGAAAAAAAAAAGAGTGATCCTGTGAGGTCATCCCAAAGGATAATCAGAGTGAAAACTGGGAAAAGCCTGTCAAGGCTATCCGAACCAACACCCTCATTTCACATATTGGGAAACCCAGAACCAAAGAGGTTAATCGGCTTGCTCAGGGACACATAGTACATAAGCATCAGAACCAGAATTTGGACTTAGGTCTTCTTATTCCAAAGCTAGGAGAATTACCTTTTTGGGGGTAGCAGGGACTTATAAGGGCTGGTCAGGAAAACAGAAACTAATCTCCTCCTAGAAGTATTGTGTGCCCTATATAAAGCTTGAAAATTGTGCTCTTTTGTGTTATGGATACTCCATTTGAGGCTTCAATGTAACATGTGATTTGACTTACCAAAAAACCAAATTCTTCTGTGCTATGGACAAAAGAATTTTCTAGCATTAAAAATTCAGGCATTTATAAAAGTCATCACATCAAGGAAAAGAGAGCATAGAGATGTTCAGGAGGAGGAATAGAGAAGCAGGATAGATTTGGAACTTCTGTGTTAAACTGGTTATATGTTAAAAAATAAAAGTGAAGTATAAAAGATTCATGATTTCATATAAAATCTTTTTCTCTTGTCCA